TTCCTTACTGATCGCAAGTGGGGGCCTTTAAATATTTTAAATATAAATTATCCGTAAAACATTCATTAACATACATTTCTTCCAATACAATGCTCCACTTGAGAAATAAAACCTTAAGAATATTTTACAATCACGTCAACAAACACTGGCCACAGTTTCGAGGCACAAAGATTATTACTAAGTGAAGATTTTATTGTAAAACCTGAATTAACATTAGAAGCTTCAATAACTTAAAACAGTTTCTTGGTAAATTTATAAAACTGAACTCTCAATCAAAAGCATATATACGATCCTTAAAAGAGTGGCCATAATTACCTTTCGCTCAAGACTATCATCACCATCAGTTGAGCTGACACTGTCATGCATCCTGGATCTCGAGGGTCGTTGTCGCTTTGATTTCCCTGAAAGATGTGCTCGAGCCTTTAGTACTTTGCTATCCAATATCTGTGTTTCAGGTACTGCTTCATTAAAATCTAAACCAGAGATAAGTAAAGTAAATTTAAAATGAATCCAGTTTTACTGCATTAATTGAAAATCAGTATTCATTTACTAATTAACAGATATTTTATTTGATTTATTTGACATTTTTATTGTCACATGTATTTTGTTACAAAATAGTGAAAAGTGTTGTATCGTGTCACCACTCTCCAGTACCATCTTACAACACAGAACAATAAACCCAAACATTGAACATGGGGCTAGAAAAATAAAGAAATACAATTCAACTTTACAGCCCTTCTTATTAGATACTCAGTCATGGGCCTGGAATGGCCAGCTACAAGTCCCTTGGCTGCCCAACTGGAACAAGAGTCGCCACTCTTCGGTACCTTCTTGCCTCCACCACACCGGCCCAACCTCAACTCCACCGCTGCTGCCAAAGGTCTGCTCCAGGCTCACCTCGCCAATGTAACCACCGCCGATGCACCGGGTCTCATATTGAGCCCAAACATTCCTTTACCGCTGCCTCCATGAATCTGCGCTAGATACAGATGCCATGGGGAACCAAACTCACCTCCGCTACAGCAGCCATGAGTCGGCGCTGGACTCACCTCATTGATGCAAAAGCTGCCAGAAACCCAAACTCACTGTCAATGCCATCGCTGCAACCAAGCTCTTCACAAGAGGTAAAGACAAAGAGAAACAATGAGAAAAGAGAGAGAAAAAAAGAAAGAAAAGAAGAGAGGATGAGTCCAGGGCTCAGGAGCGTGACTCTGTTGCCATTGCGGATTAGCAAAAAAATAATGAAAACTATAATAAAAACAATATAATAACAATCAGAAACAATTGTGTTTAACTTAAATAAAGGGAATTACAATGAAATGTCGATAGAGTTAACTAAACTAAACTAAACTGGGTGGATAGATTAGCAGGAATGAATGTAAGCAGTGGTAGACATTTAAGAGTGTAATTAATGACTCTCAGAAAAAATACATCCAGGTAAAAAGGAAAGATTCTGAGAAAGGGATAAGCCAACCATAGCTAACCAAGGAAATTAAGGGGAGAATATTAGTTTAAAGAAAAAGCATGTAAAGAGGCCAAACTCAGTGATAGCCCCATAGACTGGGACAAATTCAGCATCCAGCAAAGGTGGACTAAAAAGACTAAAGACTAAAAAGACAGAGAAAATAAACTATGAGAGCAAACTAGCAAGGAATATGAAAACTGACATTAAGAGCATCTTTGAATATATAAAAAGGAAGAGAGGTCCAAGTGAATATAGGCTCCTTTGAAAATAAATCTAAGGAGATGAGTTTGGGGAACAATGAAATGGCAGAGGAATTAAGATAGATACTTTGCATCAGTTTTTACATTGGAAAATACTTCTAACATTCCATTTATAATAAAGTAGACAGAGGAGAAATTAAATATCATCACCAACACTAAGGACATAGCATTAGACAAACTAAAGGGGCTAAACGCAGATAAGCCTCCTGGCCCTGATAGAATGCGGGCTGGAATCCTAAAAGAGGTAACTATAGAAATAGTGGATACATTAGTTGTAATTTTCCAAGAATCGATGGATCCTGGACAACTTCTAAATAATTGAAAAACTGCTAATGTGACACACCTATTCAAAAAGGGAAGGAGGCGAAAAGCAGGTAATCATAGGCCAATTTTATCTTATTCACTTGTGTTGTTCAGAAGGTTGGTGCAGACTTGATGAACCGAATAGTCTTTTCTGCACACTAGGGATTCTATGAAGTACTCGGATCCTGGCGGACTTCTCATACATCTTGAAAGAAGTGATTAGTGAGGTTGTTGATGCATTGGTTTTAATATTCTAATACTCCTTGATTCAGGACTGTCTCTTTACACTAGAGGATAATGAATGCAACTCCTTTATTCAAAAACGGAGCAAGATCGAAAGTAAGAACCTACAGGACAATTAGCTGAACATCTGTCAAAGGCAAAATTATTAAAGAAGTTTTAACAGGGCACTTAGATAAGTTCAAGGTAATTAGACAGAATCAACATAGTTTTAAGAAGGAAAATAATGCTTGACCAATCTACTGGAATTCTTTGAGGAGATAATGTGCTGTGGATAACGGGGAGCTAGTGGATATACTGTACTCCGATCTTCAGAAGGCACATGATAAGGTGCCACATCAAAGATATTGTGGACCATAAAAGCTCATGGTGTTGGGGGGGTGGGTGAGAATATATTAGCTTAGATAGAAAAGTGGCTGGCTAAAAGCAAGCAGGCAGTAGGTGTCAATGGATCTTTTTCAGGTTTGCAAGATGTAATGGGCCAGATGCTAGGGCTTCAACTGTATCCAATTTATGCAAATGACTTTGATGAAGATAGAAGATATGGTTGTCACATTTGCTGGTAACATGGAGATAGGTAAGAATATAGAACAGTACAGCACAGGAATGGTTGTGCCGAACATGACACCAGATTAAACTAATCCTTTCTACCTGCCCAAGGTCCACATTCCTCCATTGCATATTCATGAGCTTATGTAAAAGTCCCTTAAATGCCCTCATCATATCTGCCTCCACCACCAGTCCGGCAGCGCATTCCAGGCTCCTACCATGTTATGTGTAAAAAACTTAACCCTCACATCTCCTTTGAACTTTTCCCTCTCTCCTTAAATACACGCGCCCAACTATTAGATATTCCAACTCTGGAAAAAAGATGCTGACCGTCAACACTATCTATACATCTCATAATTTTGTAGACTTCTATTGTCTCCCCTCAGCTCCATTGCTCCAGAGAAAACAACACAAGTTTTTCTAGCCTCTCCTTATAACTCATATCCTCTAATTCAGGCACCATCCTGGTAAACCTCTTCTGCACCATCTCCAAAGCCTCCACGTTCTTCATGTAATGTGGCAACCAGAACTGAACACAGTACTCCATGTGCGGCACAACCAAGGTCTTATAAGGATGCAACATGACATCCTGACTCTTGTACTCAATTCCCCAACCAATAAAGACAAGCGTGCCATTCACCTTCTTTACCACCCTATCTACTTGCGTGACCACGTTCAGGGAGCTATGGGCTTGAACCCCAAGATCCCTATGTACATCAATGTAGTTCAGGGTCCTGCCATTAACTATATACTTTTCCTAACATTTGATCTCCCAAAGTGCAGCAGGTCACACTTACCCGGATTAAACTCCATCTGCCATTTCTCCACCCAAATCTGCAACTGATCTATATCCTGCTGTATCCTTTGATGACCTTCTATAGTATCTACAACTCGACTGATCTTTATATCGCTTGCAAATTTACTAACCCACCCATCTACATTTCCATCCAAGTTATTTACATATATCACAAACAGCAGAGGTTCCAGTATGATCCCTGCAGAACACCAACAGTCACAGACCTCCAGCCAAGCAAACACCCTTCTACCACTACCCTCTGCCTTCTATGAGCAAGCCAATTCTGAATCCAAGCAACCAAGTCACCATGGATCCCATATATCTTATTCTTCTGGATGAGCCTATCATGAGGGACCTTGTCGAAAGCCTTACTAAAATCCAAGTAGACAATATCCGCTGCTCTACCCTAATCAATCACCTTTGTCACTTCCTCAAAAAATTCAATCAATTTAGTAAGACATGCCCCGCAAAAAGCCATGCTGAATGTCCCTAATTAGGTCATGCTTTCCTAAATGCATGTAAATTCTAAGAATTCTCTCCATAGGTACAAAAGTAAATTGTTGAGATTACTCAAAGCGGTTACATAAGAACAAAGAGCAGTAATAGGCATTTCAACCCACAGGACCTGCTCCACCATTTAACACAATCATGGTTGATCTCTTCTCAGCCTCAATTCCATTTTCCTGTCCTATAAAACTAATCTTTTCAACTATTCTTTTAGTCATCTCTATCTTGTACCCTTCTGAATACGTTATAGCTTTTACAGGATCATAGAAAATAGGAGGAAGAGTAGGTTAATTGGTAATTCAAGCCTGATCCACCACTTGATATGATCATGGTTAATCCTCTATCTCAATGCCATCTTTCTTCTTTCTCCCCATAGTCCTTGATGCCTTTAAAATCTAAAAATGCATCTATCTCTTTCTTGAAAATATTCAATGACTTGGCCTCCACAGCCTTCTGCGATAGAGAATTTCACAGGTCCATTACCCTTTGAGTGAAGAAGCATTTCCACATCTCAGTCATAAATGGTCTATCCCGTATCCTGAGACTGTGTCCCCTGGTTCTAGACTCCCCATCTAAGGAAAACATCCGCCCTGTAGCCTGTCCAGCCCTGCCAGAATTCTATATGTTTCAATCAAATCCCTTCTCAAACTTCTCAACTCAAATGAATTTCGGCCCAGTTGAAACAATCTCTCCTCAAAGGAAAGACCTGCATCCCCGGTATCAACTCAGTGAACCTCTATGACAAATAGACAAAGAAGCTAGATCAAGTTTTCATTTTTGAACTATCATTAGAATTGAAACATTTCTCATTTTAAAGGATGATCACATCATCCTCAGTTAAATAACAAGTGATAAAAATCCATTTTGTGCTGAGTTCCATACAAAGGTGTTATTTTTAAAATATACATATACCATCAAAATGTTTTACTCCATTCAGCAAATGTATAATGAAACACTGCTGATATACAACTGCATTGTAATGACAATAAAAAAAACTTACCAAAAACCTCATCTGGGTCAGCTGACTTCATAGTTGAAGTTTCAACAACTTCTGTGAATGATTAAAATATATATGTAACCAACAATCATCTCATATATGTATTTATCCTCGAAATAAAAGGAAAACATCTTGTAAGATAATCAATTCTGCAATACCAATATTCTACTGTTCTGTGTCAACAGCTCTTTTAAATTTGCTCCTTCCTGGCACAATATACACAGCCCAGAAGGTGAGAACGCACAACTACTGGAAACAGTGAACAGGTTAGGACTTTTTTTATAAGACTGATGAAGGTCCTTAAGATCATGTCTACTCTGTCAAACTCTTTCACTAAGACGATGTGACCACTTGTAGGAGAGTTCAAAGTGGTCAAGTTAATAGCATAGATGCATTTAAAGGGACATTAGGTGACAGAAATGAACAGAAGAATACGTTGATAGGTTGAAATGAAATATGATGATAGAGGAAGCTTACATGGAGCATTGAGGTGTGCATAGACCTGTTGGGTTGAATAAATTTTAAAAAATATGTAAATCTGTAATTATGATACCCAATTGTTTGAAACATACATGATTTAAAGTTGGTGGGTATTTGGCTGGAGGCACCAATTGGTAAAGAAAATGACACTGAACTTTCATTGGGAAGTCATTTGAAACAAAATGTAATTTATTAACCTGATATAGTAATCAGTAAAGATTTCAAAGCTCTTGTACATAATTTAGTTAGGTAATTTATAGTTTATTTTCTTTCTTGAACCGCTTAGAAATATTTAGATACACAATAAACATAACTCAAAGGTTAAATAATTTATATTTATACTTGTTGATTTCCTGTGGTATTGCAAATAGGAAACATGACCAAAAGTACTTCTTTCCCAAGTGATTTAGATAAGTCCTCTCCCGCTAGGAATACAGGATTTAAGAGGCAGGAGCCTGCCTGCTCCACCATTTAGAGGATCATGGTTGATCTGGTTGCGGTTTCAGTAACACTTTTCACATTACCTTTGGCTCTTTTGTCTATCAAGAGATAAACTGAGGAGACAAAGTAAAGAGGAACCAGTTGAATTGAGGGAAGAGTATACAAAGTAGTGAAGTGGACTACGGATGAAGTGAAAAGAGAACTGGTGGGATAGGGAACATAGAAAATCGGAGCTAGATCAATGCTGATTTTCTACCTCAACACCTTTTTCTTCATATCCCTCATTTTGTTTAATACCTAGAAACCCTATTAACTTCTGTGTTGAGTACGCTCAATTACTAAACCTCCACAGCCCTCTAGTGGATAGAATTCCAAAGATCCAAACCCTCAGTGAATATGTTTCTCCCCAGCTCAGTGTTAAGTAGAGACAACAAGGTGCAGTGTTAAGTAGCCTACTTTTTATTCTAAAACTATGCCTTCTTTTGTTTTATTCATTCATGGGATATTGGCATCCCTGGCTGAGCCAACATTTATTGCCCACCCCTAGTTGCCCTTCAGAAGTGGTGTTGAGCAGTCTTCTTGAACAGCTGCAATCATATGTGTCATAGAGTCATACAGCAAGGAAACAGAAAACAGACCCTTTAGTCCAAATTGTCCATGCCAACGAGATTACCCAAACCAAACTAGTCCCATTTGCCCATGTTTGGCCCATATCCTTCTAAACCTTTCCTATTCATGTACCTGCCCAATTGTCTTTTAAATGTTTTAACTGTGCTTGCATCTACCACTTCCTCTAACAGTTTATTCCACATATGAACCACCCTCTGATGCCACTCAGCCCATTTGCTGTTGGTAGCCGCACAAGATTGTTGGGCAGAACGTTCATGAAGGAACGTTAATATATTTTCAAGTCAGGATGGTGAGTGGCTGGGCTGGGAACTTGCAGCTTCTGGCATTCCTATGTATCTGCTGCCCTTGTCCTTCAAGATGGTAGTGGTTTTGGATTTGGACAGCATTATCTAAAGAACCTTGGTAATTTTCAGAAGCATAATCTTTTAAATGCTGCTACTACTGAGTCAGCAGTGGAGGACTGAATGTTTGTGGATGTGTGTTTCTATAAATCAAAGATTCAAATGCTTTATGATGCTTTACAATACATATCAGATCTTCCCACCTTCAGTTGAACCGTCAAGGTTGTACCCCCGCATTCTTGTCAAGCTATCAATTGCTTTAAGTGGAGGCTCTCTTATTATATCCATGAATGTTGTTTTCTTTTCCTGCTCCTCTCCAAAGATGTTATTATTGTTGTTCATTTGAGTCCCATTTGTTCTCGTTAATTTTTGAAGCTCGACTTTCAGATCTGAAATCTAGAAAAGAGGATTTTATCTTAATTGTCACTTAAACAGATAGAAACAAATTAGGTTAATTAGTTTAACCTGTTAAACAAGAAAATGAGATCCTATGATACCACTGACATACTTTTGCAAGACATTTACATGGCTAATTTGAGGGGAATTAATAAACTATTATAACCAACAAACTAAACCTCTCTGAACCCTGAATTGCAAATCCACATTTAATTGCTTGGAGATTTGCTGATTTCTAATTTTAAAGAAGTTAATTCTTTAGGTAGATAACTTAATAGTAATAAAGCCTAATTCTTCAATTCTTTCATTCTTGTCTACTGCAATTGTTGCTCACAATGCAGTCTCCTCTACATTGGTGAAACCAAATACAGACTATATCTTACAACAATACTGTTAGCGCTCCCTTCGACTTTTGCACTAGGCACCTTCACCATCTGTTCCATGTACTCCTCTGCTCGCCTGTACCCTTATTCTCCAAAGCATATAACCCACCATTTCCAACTCCTTCGGTTTCAAGAACAGTCATATCAGACTTGAAATGTTAACTCCTTCCTTCTTCTTAGATGCTGCCAGACATGTTGAACTTCTCCAGCATTTTCTTTTCTTATTCATTAATTGGACTGCGAATAGTTAAGAGATAATTTAATTCAGAAAATATAATTCACCTCCCCGCAGAATCATAGGCCTCGATACTTGCAGGGAGGAAGCAATGATGATGGAGGCGAAAGATTTATGATAAAATGGGTTTCTTGGAGGTTCTATTCATTTTAACTGTTGGACCTGATGACAATTTTGTGGCTAATTTACAACTTGTTATTGCTGCTGACAGATTGGATATGGCTCCAGGACCTATAGAAAGATTGTGGGCAATCAATACACAGAGCGTGGGTCATGGGTATAATGCAGGGCGAAAGAGAACTAGATAGGCAGTGCAGGAGTTTCCTGTAGTCATTCCCCTGCAGAACAGATTTATAGCTTTGGATACTGCTGGGGGCAAATGGCCTCTCAGACAAAAAGCAGCAACAGCATAATTTGTTGCACCACAATTAGCTCTACTGCACAGAAGAGAAAGAAGTAGTGTAGGAGGAATAAGAAATGGAAGTTTAATTGTAAGGGGAATAGATAGATGTTTATGTGGCTGCAAATGAGTCTCCAGGATGGTACTTTGGGCGCTGTGGTCAAGGATGACTCCAACATATTCAGGAAGGGCAGGGTGAACAGCCAGTGGTCAAAAAGCATTGAGAATAAAGTGGATGAATTAGTCACACAAATAGATATAAGCAGTATGATATCATTGGGATTAAGGAGATATGACTGCAGGCTGACCAGGGATAGGAATATCCAAAAGTATGCAGCTTTTAAGAAGAATGGTCAAAAAGGAAAAGGAGGTGGGCTCGCATTGCTGGTTAAAGTAGACGTTATTGCAGTAGTGAGGAAGGATATTAGTGCTGATGAAGTAGAATCAGTATGGCAAGAGCTTAAAAACACCAAATGGCAGAGAATGACAGAAAACGGTAATACATTGACCCCCAAACTGTAGTGGTAATGCTGGGAAGGCAGGAAGTAGAGATGCATCTGTAGGTATGGGCAACTTTAATCTGCATAATAGATTGGCCAAATCAAATCAGTAACAATGCTATAGAAGAATAACTCCTAGAATGTGGACAAGATGGTTTTCTGGATCAATACACTGAGAAACCGGCCATCTTAGACTGTACTTTGCCAATTATTCCTTGCTTATTGTACAATCTAGCTGTGTGAGGCCCTTCAAGCAAGAATAATCGTGATATGATAGATTCTTCATTAAAGTGGAAAGTGCAATGATTGGGACCAGGTGGACCTTGTTGACTATGAGGATCTTGATTGGGATCATTAACCTGGTCCAATCAGGAAAGTCTTGGCTAACCAATATAACCAAGAGATGCCTGCCCATCGTCAGTGGTTATGTTTGAGCCCGGGGATCCTTGGAGAGGGAGCACGTGGTGTCCAACAATACTCTCGATTGCTTTAGGGAGAGGTGGGCACCACAGTGGGTGAAATGCTTTATTGTCCCCTCAAATTCTATTTTGATTTGATCCCTACCCACCCATTCATTTTTTCTTTCACGTAAGCATTGCTCCTACCGAGCTTTACTTGTTACTGGTTCCCTGGCCACATGGGTGTTTTTCCTGGTGGTGTTAATGTTGAATAAAATTATTTTGGACATTGTGTTTTTATTGACTCCTGCACTTACACACACACAACATGGGTGCTGATGGGAAAAGTAAGCACTACTGCTGTAAGGCAGTAGTGTAGGGGTGGAAGAAAAAAACATAACCAGATTAGAATCTCCTCAGTTGAGGACTGACTCTGAGCTGGCTAGTCACAGCCAGTGTAATGTGCACTAGTAAATAAAGGGTGACTGGGTGATAGGACCCAGCCTCTGCAGTTATTTCACAGTGATGTAGTTGAGACTCGGGTCCTGAATCTAAATATGGGCAATTACAATTGTATGGGATGTGAGCTGGCTATGATGAATTGGGGAACATTACTGAAAAGGATGATGATAGGTAGGGAATGGCAAACATTTAAAGACTGAATGGAGGAACTGTGACAATTATTCATTCCTGTCTGGCACAAAAAAAATGAGAAAGGTGGTCCAATCATGGTTAAGAAGTTAAGTTAGGGATTGTAGCAGTTCCAAGAACGAGGCATACAAATTAGTGGAAAAACAGCAGACTTGAAGAGTGGGTGCAATTTAATTTTCAGCAAAGGAGGACAAATTCATTGATTAACAGGAGGAAAATAGAGTATGAGAGTAAGCTTGCAGGGAACATACAAACTGATTGCAAAAGCTTCTGTACATATGTGATGAGGAAAAGATTACTGAAGGCAAACATAGGTTTCTTAGACACAGGTCTCATAGGTCAGAAATGGGGAAGGCAATAGCCTAGTGGTATTATCGTCAAACTATTAATCCAGAAATTCAGCTAATGTTCTGAGCCTGAATCCTGCCACAGAAGATGAACTCAATAACAAAAACAAAAGTAAAAAGAAGAACGCACTTAACCGATCATGGAACCATTGTCAATTGTGGAGAAAACCCATCTGGCTCACTAATGTCCTTCAAGGAAGGAAATCTACCATCCACACCTGGTCTGCTCTACTTGTCACTCCATACGTATTGCAATGTTGTTGACTTTCAACTGACCCCTGAAATGGCCTAGCAAGCCACTCAGTAATATCAATTGCTACAAAGATTCAACAAAGAAATGAAATTGGACAGACCACCTGGCATCAGCCTATTTACTGGAAAACACAACAGCAGAAACAGCAATGTCAACCTTGAAAAATCCTCCTTACCAACATCTGGAGCCTAGTGCCAAAATTGAGACAGTTGTCTCACAGGCTAGTTAAGCAACAGCCTGACATACTCCCATTCACAGAATCATACCTTATAGACAATGTTGTAGACACTACCATCACCATCTCTACAGACGCCCTGCCCACTAACAGGACAGACCCACTAGAGGTGGCAAAACAGTGGTATACAGTCAGAAGAGAGTTGTCTTCGAAGTCCTCAATATTGACTTTTGAGCACATGAAGTCTCATGGCTTCAGGTTAAACAGGGGTAAGAAATCCTCTAAGAACCGTACTCCCTTGGCTGATGAATCAGTACTCCCACATTTTGAAAAAACATTTGGAGGAAACACTGAGGGTGGTGAGGACTCAAAAAGTTTTCTGGATGGGGGGATTTCAATATCCACCACCAGGAGTGGCTTAGCAGCAGCAGTACGGATTGGGCTGGTTGGGTCCTAAAGGACATAGCCGCTAGACTGGGTCTGCGGCAGGTGGTGAAGGAACCATCGAGGGAAATACTTGACTCACCCTCACCAATCTACATTCCACAAATCACTTATTCATTACAATATCAATGAGTGACCAGCACAAAGTCCTTATGGAGATGAAGCCCTGCCTTCACATTGGGAATAACCTCCATGATGCTGTATGGCATGATCACGGAGCTAAATAGGACAAACTTAGAACACATCTAGCAATTTAAAACTGGACAGCCAAGAGGTACTGTGGGCCATCAAAAGCACCGGAACTGTACTCCAGCACAATCTGCAACCTCATGGCCTGGCATATCCTCCATTCAACCATTACCATCAAGCCAAGGGATCAACCCTGTTTCAGTGAAGAGTGCAGGATGGCATGCCAGGAACAGCACCAGGCATACTTAAAAATGAGGGGCAAATCTGGTTAAACTACCAAACAGTACTACTTGCGTGCCAAACAGCATAAGCAGCAAGTGATAGACAGAATAAACCAATCCCAGAACAGATCAAATTTAAGTTCTACAGTCCTACCATATTCAGTCGTGATTGTGGTGCACAATTAAACAACTCACATGGAGGAGGCAGTTCCACAAATATCTCCATCCTCAATGATGAAAGAGCGCAACACATCAGTGCAAAAGATAAGACTGAAGCATTCATAGCAATCATCAGCCTGAAGTGCCAAATGGATAATCCATCATGGCCTCCTCCAGTTGTTCCCAGCATTAGAGATGGTCTTCACAGATGATATTCAATTGGTCTTCAGTCAATTCACTTCACTCCATGTATATTAAGAAACAGTTGGAGGCACACAATGCTGCAAAGGCAATGGGCCCTGACAACATTCTGGCAATAGGACTAAAGACTTGTGCTCCAGACCTTGTCATTCCCCGAGCCAAGGTCTTCCATTACCATCATCCATCATCCTCACTTTTAACATCCTGGGGATTACCGTTCATCAGAAATTTAACAGGACTCAGCATACAATACAGTGGTTACAAGAGCAGGTCAGAGACTAGGAATCCTGCAGCGAGTAACTCACCTCCTGACTCCCCAAAGCCTGTCCACCATCTACAAGGCACAAGTCAGGAGTGTGATGGAACACTCTCCAATTACCTGGATGGGTGCAGCTCCATCAACACTCTAGAAACTTGCCATCATCCAGGACAAAGCAACCCGCTTGATTGACACCACATCTGCAAGCATTCATTCCCTCCACCACTGGTGCTCAGTAGTGGCAATGTGCATTATCTACAAGATGGACTGCAGAAATTTACCAAAGATCCTTAGACAGCACCTTCTAAACTAACTATCACTTCCATATAGCAGTACAAAGGCAACAGATACATGGAAACGCCACCATATGCAAATTTCCCTCCAAGCCATCCTGACTTGAAAACATATTGCCACTCCTTCAGTGTCATTGAATCAAAATCCTGGAATTCCCTCCCTAAGGGCATTGTGGGTCAACCTACTGCGTGTGGACTATAGTGGTTCAGGAAGGCAGCTCATGACCGTCTTTCCAAGGGCAACTAGGGATAGACAATAAATGCTGTCCAGTCAGCCACATACATGTCCCATGAATGAGTGAGAAAAAGACAAAGAGATGGCAGACCAATTAAATGCATATTTTGGTTCTGTCTTCACAAAGAAGGACACAAATAAATTTCCATACATTTTGAGGAATACAAGGTTGAGTGAGAGGGAGGAATTGAAGGAAATCTGCATTAATAGGAAATGGTACTGGGGCAACTGATGAGATTAAAAGCTGATAAATCCCCAGGTTCTGATAATGTAAATTCCAGAGAATCTAATGGAAGTAGCCCTAGAAATAGAGAATGCATTGGCGGTCAACTTTCAAAATTCGATGGACTCTGGAACAATTCCTATGGGTTAGCAGGTAGTAAACGCAATCCATTGTTTAAAAAAAAGAGATAAACAGAGAATTTCAAACCAGTTAGCTTGACATTGGTAATTGGGAAAATGCTGGAGTCCATTATAAAAGATTTAATAGCAGAGCACTTGAAAAACAGTGACAGGATCAGTCAGCCACAAAAGAAAAATCGTTTTTCACCAATCCTTTTTCGTGTAGTGGGTTGCATTTGCTGCCTGCCAATCCATAGGAACTGTTCCAGGCAAATGTTATGTTGGCCTTCCAGTACAGTTGGAATTCCAGTACAGGAGCAGGAATATCTTGCTGCAAGGGGAGGCGATGGCCTAGTGGTATTATCACTGGACTGTTAATCCAGAGACCCAGATAATGTTCTGAGGACCCAGGTTCGAATCCCGCCACAGCAGATGATGGAATTTGAATTCAATAAATATCTGGAATTAAGAGTCTGATGATCATAAATCCATTGCCGATTGTCAGGGGAAAAACCCATCTGGTTCACTAATGTCCCTTAGGGAAGGAAACTGCCATCCTTACCTGGTCTGGCCTACATATGACTCCAGACCCACAGCAATGTGGTTGACCCTTAACTGCCCTCTGGGCAATTAGGGATGGGCAACAAATGCTGCCTAGCCAGTGACGCCCTCATCCCAACAATGAATAAAGACAAAAAAATTGTACAGGGATTTGGTGAAATCACATCTAGAGTATTGTCTGCGGTTTTGGTCTCCTTTGTTTTTGGGTGCATGGCATAGCTTACAGGGAACATAACCTTCAACCAGAAAATTTAGGATAGAAAATTTTGAATTATTAGAACTTAGGAAGTTTAGGGCATCAGAACCACAGACATTTCATGTTAGCTGACAAGCAAAGGAATCATAAAATTCTCTCCACAGTTCTAGAAAAAGAAACTGGGCAAAGTCAGTTAAGTAATGATTTAAAACAAAGGTTTTATAGGAAAGGTACTTCTGTGAGATTCAGTCTGTGACAGATAGTGCTGGTAAACAAGTTGAAACTTTGTTGAAACATGGTACATCAATGACATCATCGGTGGTGCTTTCTTCTCTCATCTGAAATTGGAAAAGTTTATCTATTTTGCTTCCAATTTCCACCTTGCTCTTACCTTCACCTGGTCCATCTCTGACTCCTCCCTTCCCTCCCTTGACATCAGTTTCCATTTCTGGGGATAGGCTGGCCACCAATATCCACTACCCACTGACTCCCACGGTTACCTTCACTACACATCGTCACACCGTGTTTCCTGTAAAGATTCTATTCCATTCTTCCAGTTTCTCTGTCTCCATCGCAGCTGTTCTGATGATGCCAGCTTATGGAAGGGGGCCTCCAAAATGCCTTGAAATGTCCGCCTTCTTCAAAATTTCCCACCACCATGGTTAACAGGACCCTCAGTTGCATCTGACCCATCTCCCCCACTTTGGCCTTCATCCCTTCTCTTCCCTCCCACAACAGTGATAGGGTCCCCCAGTCCTCACTTACCGCAATAGCATCCGCATCCAAAGGACCATTAGCTATGTGATTCCACGACATACTCCCCTCCCCTTCCATGTCAGCCTTCCACAGAGACTGCACCCTGTGGGACATCCTGGTCTACTCCTCCTCCATTCCCAATACCTCCACAGCACCTTCCCATGCAATTGCAGAAGGTGTAACACCTGCCCATTTACTTCTTCCCTCCTCACTATCTAAGGACCCAGACACACTTTCCAGATCAGGCAGTGATTTACCTGCACTTCACTCAATGTAGTCTACCATATTTGCTGCTCACAATGTGGTCTACGCTAGGGAGACGAAACACAGACTGGGCAACCACTTTGCAGAACACCTACGATCTGTTTGCAAAATGACCCTGAGCTTCCTGTTGCCTGCCATTCAACACACAACCCTGCCACCTGGCCAACATCTCTGTCTTGGACTTGCTGCAGTCCTCCAGCGAATCTCCGTACAAGCTGGAAGAGCAGCATTTCATTTTCCACTTGAGAACGCCTGCAGTCTTTGGGACTCAATGTCGAGTTCAATAATTTTAGGGCCTGAGCACCTCCTCCCCTGTCCTTATCCCAATCAATTCTGAAGAAGGGTCACTGGACACAAAACCTTAACTCTGCTTTCTCTACACAAATGCTGCCAGGCCTGCTGAGTTTTCCCAGCAACTTCTGATTTTGTTTTTGATTTTGATTTCCAGTATCCGCTGTTCTTTGTGTTTTTTTTTAATTCTGTTTTGATGTTTGAATTAAGATCATTCCAAATGTCCTCCATATATGTGCTTTTCTTTGTAATGAACTTATGTTCTGTTGTCAAAGAACATCGACAACCCCATTTGAAGTTGTTTCAATGACAAACTACCATATTAACCAACTACAAAATTAAATATATGGTCTAGTGAGCCAGGTTTCATTACAGGAAATGACTTGTCTAGTTTTAAATCAGCTAGGCCCATAACATCTTAGTTATTATGAAAGAAGAGTAATGAGGACTGTACCACTATATGCCAGATGTGAAAGGATAATGATTGTTTATACACAATCAACAGAGGCATTATTGTAAAAAAAATTAATAAAGATTAAATCAGAAAAAAGTCAAAAGATGTTGTCAATTGCAAAATACTGGAAGAATGTTACATATTAATTAACATTTTCTCATTACCTTTGGAAATGGGCATTGGGCCAATGGACCAGAGGGTGGAAATTTGCAATCATAAGTGAAAAGCATAAGCCAGAAAAGGACAAAAAAAAACTTTACTATTGTCAAGCCTTCTTGTTATTCCATGCACTCATGTGTCACAAATACCCAAAATACTCAGCTAGATACTGACTTGTACTTTATCATTCATATGTCCTCCAGTATAGCGTTTCTGCCAGGGACTTGCACCAGAAACAGAGGAGGAAAATCTTGCATCTGCAACCTTTAGTGTGGCAACGGCTTCCAGCTTTTGGATCTTCTAAGTGCTGTGCAGGGTATTTCTACTCCTGGGGATCCATGGAGGAAAGATTCCACTTACACTCTGGCCTTAATGTTTCGGGTCCGGTGACCCTTCCTCTGAGGATGTTAACTCTGTTTTTTCCTTCACAGATGCTGCCAGACCTGCTGAGTTTTTCCAGCAACTTTGTTTTGGTTCCTGGTTTACAGCATCCATAGTTCTTTCGGTTTTTACACTCTGGCTTTGTTGCTTGCACTAAGAACCTCCAATTGGAGGGAGCCCTTGTGCAAGAGCTATATCAAAAGCTTTCTTAACGAGTCATTTGAAATAGATGCCCATCTTCCAAAAGGAAGATGAAATAGGAGGACCTTTAGATTTCCCCTGCTTGATTTCCAAGTATTTATAATTTCTACAAGGTTGTTTGCACAGATATGTTGCTTCTCTTACAGAAGCTCAAAAATGCCGATAAAGTAGAAAGGGATTAAGTCAACAACTTCAAAAATCTCAGCTTCTATTTTCTCTCTTTTGAACTTAAAAGCAAATTTTCCTGAGGTATGCAAGAGAAATTTGGGGGTTACAGATTCCATAATACAAGACAGAATTTAGTGAATACTTATAAGTGCTGTAAGATTTATGATTAAAAATGAAAGGCATGATGCAAAATTTACTGCAAAAATTGGATTTCTTTGAATTATTTCTAGGATTTTGAAAAGTTGTCAGTTTAAAAAGTTAAGCCTGCAGCACCTCTTACCCTGCTCTGAAGTTTCTGAACTTCTGCTGCATGTAGCTTTTCAACTTCTTCAAATTTCTTTCTTTCAGCATCTTGATGCTTAACAAATTCTATTTCCCTGAAAAAGAGTTTCCAGAGAGTTTTCAGGTTCAGTAAATCATCTTCAGTTCCTAAAGCTAGATTTTTAAAAAATTAATTTCTTACTTCTGCTGGTAATCTTTAATAAGTTTCTTGGCTTTATTATATTTCTTCTCTAAAGCCTGATATTGGCTTTGGGTCTCTTTTAAATGTTCATTGACCGTATGACACAAGGACTGTGCCTCAATCCAGTAGCTCTCTAATTTCAACATCCTTTCTTTGTTCTCTTCAATGCTCTGCTGGAGTTGTGTTTTCTCCATTTCCCACTGAACCTTCTCATTCTCTGCTAACTGGAGCTGGAAAACACAAACAAATGATGTTATCCGAAAGCAGAACTTATAAAAAAGTAGAACTTATGAAAGTAATACATCAACTTTAATTTTACATCAAATTTATAATAAAATATATACTCTATCAGTTCTAATTGGACAGTTTTAATTTAAGTACAGATATTGAATGAAGTTGAAGCAGCATTGGTACAGAGCTATGTGCAGGTCAACAGCTCATCCTTCAGTCTCAGGTATTTTAATTGGGGCAAGTTGTAAGGAACCCAAGATAATGAGGAAAAGATGAAGGGTACCAGACTGTTTATGAAACAATTAGAATAGTGAAATAAAATAAAGTGCAGAAATTATTCAGGTCAGCCCACGTCAATAGAGAGGGAAAGATTTAAGATTTCATACAGGCATAAATATGAATATAGAAATCAGAAGTAGACCATTCAACCTCTCAAGCCATTCAGTAAGATCAGCGCTGATCTGATTGTAACACAAATCCACATTCCCCGCTATCCCTGGTAACATTTCAACCCTTTACTTGAGAATCTACCTACTCTACCTTAAAACTAATAAAGGACTCTGCTTTCAACACCTTTTCCGGAAGAGAGCTCCAAACATTCAAGATCGTTTGAAAATGTTTCACCTAATCCCTGTTTTACTTCAGCAACCTTTGATTGTTAAACAGTAACCCTTATTTCTAGATCCTCCCACACGAGGTAATATCCTCTCCACATCTACCTTGTCAAAACCCTTCAGGATTTTATGTTTCAGTCAATTCAACTCTTACTCTTCTAAACTGCAGTGGATACAAGCCTAGCCTGTTCGACTTTTGCTCCTTATTTAAGATTAGCAGTGAACAGTCTGGAAGGAATAAAATGGTACGAAAAGGAGGGAGAAAAATAATCATGCAGAGAAGATAAAGAGGTGACCCTGCAGCAGTGCAGATTAAGAAGTAACCTTAGTGAGGCGTTCAAAATTATGAACAATTTTAATAGGGTAAAAAAGGATATTCAGTTTCCACTAGCTGGTATGTCAGTAACTAGGGGTCACAATTTCAACATTGCCAGCAACATAGCTAGGAGTTAGAAGCAGAGAAATTTTTTTACTCAGAGTTGTTAGGATTTGTAATGCATTGCCTGGGAGGGTGGTGGAGGTGGAGGCTTCAAAAGACGGTTGAATATATATTTGAAAATGATTAATTTAAAGGGCTACGGAGATAGAGCTGGAGAATGGGACCAGCTAGGCAGCTCTTTTGGGAGCCAGTACAGAAAAAAGGGGTCAAATGGCCTCCTTCTATGCTGCAAAATTCTATGATTGTAAAAATGAAAGTAATGGCTGAGTCTGGAGTGGTAGCCTTGAGATTTGACAACTTTAAGGAGTATCAGAGGTCACAGCTGATTTGATGAATGAAGCTAGACCCTGCCATTTTCTTTACTTTGTATACTTGCTGTCAAATGTGTCTGTCAATTGGGTTTTAAAAAACAGAAACATTATTCGGAATTGCAAAACAAAATGCACTTTCTTCAAACCTTTTTGTCTTGCACTCATCAGGCCAATTCACAAGAAATACCAACCTAAAACGGAAACCAACATTTATACTCTATCACATGAGAAATCTGACAAAAGGACCGGAATAGTCATCCTTAACAAGTGTAACATTGCATGCAATTTTTAAAGATGGTTCTAAATTCACATAAGTTGGACCAGCCGCTCAGCATGCTTATACAGCTTTCAAGAAGCTAAAAGCACTTGCTGAACCTTTAAAAGAGCAACATGTTGCCAGGTAACATAGGTCATACAGTGCGTCCTTACAGCTGATTCTATCCACAGATTCCTAGGCTGTTCAAAACATGTAAAATTGATATCCCTTTACACTATCTTATCCATGATCATGAACTGGCCAAACAGTTGAACGAATAGCTACAAAATGTTCTAAGCACATTTCCCACATACACATTGAAGGGTTCCTTCGTATTTATGAAGGCCATACAGATTTGCACCTCATTAATATTTGATTTGATTTGTTTTATTTATTTATTGTCACATGTATTTTATTGCAAATACAGTGAAAAGTGTTGTATAGTAATGGAGTGCTCATTTGACATCGCTAGCCTATTCACCAATGTACCAATCAAGTAAGCCATAGACATTCGAACTGCAGCACCGTATCATGGAAATCTGCACAAGCAATCATTGTGTGAATTAGTACTCATTCACTTATGAACTCAGGAACTCATGCATTTGAGTTCCATTTTAACATCATCTATGTCCCTACAGATTATACTGCCATAGAAGCCAGCTAGAGACAGCTTTTGCAAACATCTTTGCTCGGTTCCATGAGAAACATATCTTCAATTGAATAACATCTAACCAATACTTCCAATATGACAATATGTTTGCTATATTTGAAACTACAACTATACCTGATTCAACTCAAGGTATTAGGTGACCGCCATTTTCTGGTTCTTTTAGGGCAATGCTTTAACTGATCCAAGTCAACCTACCTGGTTTAATGCTCAAACAAAGCATGGTGGTTAACTGTCAGTCATAATTAACTGGTGAAATCTCTATGGTAACGCTTCTACCAATGAGAATCTACTTGATAACCGATCAGCACTCTCCTTTCATACAGATAATAATATTGAGGTTGTAGACATGCTCGCTGAGCCAGTGCGTTTGGATGTAAACGTTTCGTCAACCTGTTAGGTAACATCATCAACATCATCAGTGCACATCTGGTAAAGCGTTGGTGTTCTGTCCTGCTTGTTATTTATAGGCCTCGCTTTGCTGGGGCGATTGGTACTACTTCCGGTTCTATTTCTCAGTGGTTTGTACACAGCGTTTAATTCAATGTGTTTGTTGATGGAGTTCTGGTTGGAATACCAGGCCTCCAGGAATTCCCTGGGCTGTCTCTGATTGGCTTGTGTGATTATGGATGTGTTGTCCCAGTCGAATTTGTGACCCTCATTGTCCATGTGTAGTGAGACAAGTGAGAATTGTTCGTGTCTCTTGGTGGCTAGTTGGTGTTCGTATATCTGTATTGTCACCAACTAGCCACCAAGAGACATGACCAATTCCCACTTGTCTCACTACACATGGACGACGAAGGACACAAATTCGACTGGGACAACACATCCATAATTGCACAAACAGAGACACGCCAGGGAATTCCTGGAGGACTGGTATTCCAACCGGAATTCCATCAACAAACACGTTGAATTAGACCCTGTGTACATACCTCTGAGAAACAAAACTGGAAGTAATACCAACCACCCCAGCAAACCAAGGCACATAAATAACAAGCAGGATAGAGCACTGATGCTTCACTGGAAGCGCACTTTTGATGCTACCTAGCAGGCTGACGAAACGTTTGCATCCAAACCCACTGGTTCGGCGGGCATGTCTACAACCTCAGCCACAAACCGAGCTACAAATCTTCTTGTAAACTTTAGATAACAATATTTTCCCCTTCATTGATATTTGTGAAATATCCTGATGAGTGCGAAAAGAAGATCTTCAACAAAACGCTTCTTTATTTTAACAATACTCAATTCCTATAATATCAAATGACTATTTGTTTGGAATACTGCATCAATCTTACATATGCATGTGTTTTAATATGTGTACATGTATGTATTACTGCATGCATTTTAAAAATCTGCTATAATAGAGGTTTTGATTAGGAAATTAAAATGAACAAAATGTCATAAAAAGCCTCAAATTACACATGCCTTGTTATGTAGCATTTACTCGGGAGCAAATATCCTTTATCATAAACAAGAATAGAGACAGAATGACGGAAGGGAGTTATGGTTACAGCCTGAAACCCATTGTGTTGGTAGGGAGAGTGGGTATGCAGCATCAATGAATATTGCCTAAATTCAGAGACAGATGTGATAGACAAGTTAAGTTCAGAATCTATTAGATGGGTTCAGTGTGAGAGGATGCATTAATGGAATAATTCACTTTGCAATTATGATCCAGGAGGCAGCAAAATCAGTTGCAAAGCAGAAAGATGATGGCAAAGTTGGAGACCACTATATAATCCAAAGAGACTAGAGAAATTTGCTTTGACAGAGTAACTATGGTCAGGAACCAGTAGGCAACTAATGCTGACAAACGAGAAGAACTAGTCCAACCACAACTTCAGCAGACATGACACCAAGTCCCTTACACTCTCCATCACAGCAGAAGTGGATGGATAAGTGAAGGGACATATTCAAATTAACCCCAATTTTAGGATGACCTTGAGGCCTTTAGTTTCTTTGACAATGCTGCATCCACAAATCAGATTTCTAAGCCCAATGTTGCAATCAGCATAGAATATACAGATGGAGAAAGGCCCACTTTGAATGGTATAATCAGCTACAAAGATCAAAAACAAAAAAATCTGATTACACACTGAGGATTGATCAATTTTAATTTAGATAACTAAGTTTTATGAAATTAACAGGCAAAGTCGAAGAAACAGCCCCTCCCATGAGTGCACTCATACAAAGAAAAATCATGCAAGATCAAATTTTTTAAAAATCAAAATGAGAATCACAAAAGCAAACATTTTTCTTGTGTTTGTCAAAAGTGAACACTTCATAGATGGTTCATAATCTAGCAACAAAAAAATATTTTTCTGAAGACGGGTCCTGACCCGAAACGTCAGCTTTCCTGTTCCTTTGATGCTGCCTGGCCTGCTGTGTTCCTCCAGCTCCACACTTTGTTATCTCTGACTCCAGCATCTGCAGTTCTTGCTATCTCAACAAAAAAATGCTGCTTTGTAACAATATTAGAACTGATGGTTTATAATCATCTTTCAAAGCCTTTTCCAAAGTAAAATACTGAACATAACAAATTATTTAATTAGGTGCTTATTGAGGAAAACAAACTGAATAACAATGTACTATTTAATACCCAGTGTATCCTAAAACATAAAAAAAAATTTTATAGCTCCTTACCTTAGTTTTCAATTTCTGAATTTCAGCTTCAGTAACAGAATGCTTAATCTGTAGCTAGATGAATTAAAAAAAGGGTCAGGGAGTTCTGCGAAATATATAAACAGCTACTGATGTTATGAAAAAATCTTTTTTAACAGTTAATGTCATTCTCATACTACTGTATGCAGTATATTCTACCTCACGACACCACTCTCCATTAAAGCCATACCATTCCTAATGTTTTCTTTCTCCTCATGCATTTTCTTCGAAAGATATGAGTTAAATTTGGAGCATGGATAGCAATGGGAAAGTCAAAATTAATCATGCAGTAGAGTGAGTCAGGTATTTTCCAGGTTGTAGTGTTTTTCTCCAATAAACTTGAACAGTCCCAACTGTAATCAAGATGTTTACTCTCACTGTACTAAAAGCAGGTATCTACAGTGTATAAGAAATCACACACATCATTTCATAAACCCATTCTACACTGAAGCAAGTCAAATTATAAAACAGCATGTTAAAACTTAAAAACAAAAATAAAGCTCACCTTTAGATGTAGAAGTCATCATTCTTCACTAAAGACTATACTCCACATACCATGGATAAAATCATGCAATAGAATGAAAAAACTAGAGTGGTACCTAACAATTTGAGGAATTTTCTATACCATATCCCTTAGGAAGGTACCTTCACATTCAGTAATACAACTGAAAGCAAACTATCAGTTTGGCTTTCAGCGATAAAACATTTTAAGTCTGTTACCTTGTGTGGAAACTATTTTATTATTAGGACTTAATTAATAATTAACATTATTGACAAAAGCATGTGTATTAATCATTTTCGCATAGGAACTGAATAAATACTTCAAGGGAAAAATTAGCAGGGATTGATTACAGAAGTACAATTGAAGTAGCATAATGAATTAAAACAGATTCTTATTTGCTATATTTTTGGTTGAATGTCCCAACACTGACTTTGAATTACTGGCCAAGTGATAAAGAGATCTGCTAATGCCAAAATGGAAACTACAATTACTAAAATAGAATCACATCAATTTGTTAAACATAGTAAATTCAATATTTCTGAAACAAAAAAATCTCAATCTAAATGTTAATAATTTACAGCATTAATACATGAAGCCATGTCGAAGCCTGAGGATATACGAAGGCCTATGAGCCAAACAGATGAGTACAACTGAGAAAATCCATAGTTAATATTATTGCAAAGAGCAGAAGCTAATAATTACAGCTGGTTGAGTATACTTCTCTTTGAAGAATGTTTATAACTATAAATAAAAGGTGAATAATCCTAACTTAATACTAGTACTTCTGATATCATCTTGTACACAATCACAGGTCCCCACAAAGAATGAAAGACCATTTGATTCAAGGAGAAAATGAGTCTCAGTTCTGCCGAAACTGCATGGTTTTTTGTAGTTGAACATAAGCAGTCATGCTGGGAACAATCTTTAAATTACTTCCATTCATTTTGGAACCTAGGAGTAGCCCTTGCCTGCAACTAGTTCAGGTACCTCCTACTGAAAGAATTATACAGAATATCTTGATCTTGTGAACAAATCTCTGGCCATGCCAGCTGATAACAAGACAATGTTATAAATGATATTTGTATATCAGGGTATGCAGAGGTTTTCTCTCTTAGGATAAAAAGGTATGGAGCAAACATTCAAATTTAGCAGAAAATTTAACTAAACAAAATATAAGTGGTAATTTTCAAATTCATGATGGCCAGAATAACGGTAGTGTCAAAACAACTTGCACAGGCAGGAAATTTCTAAGCAAAGAAATGATCTACCTTCAAGTCAAAGTAGTTTAAAAGGCTTTACCATTAAGGGTAAATAGCTGCTTTAAGTAGTCAACAGTCTGGGGTATAAAATGCTTTGTAACTCATCACTTAAAAGATTTGATCAAAGTATTACAAATACAAGCAACACGATTAACTAAAAACAAAAGCCTCAGATACACGAAGTTATGAATGAATTGCAGCATCAAAGACAATCACACCACCAGTTAGTTAGTATAATGGACGACCCTTCAATTGTTACAATAGGCTCTTTGTTGACAACTATCACAAGGATGTGCTTATATTAAGTATTAGAATTTGATTTCACACATATTCATAGAATTTTTTTTTGAAAGGATACTTTTCGTAAACAAAGGACACACATTTTAAATAGCTGCTAATTTGCACCTGTGACATTCCATTCTGTCCCATGGAACCACGAAGTTTACAGAGATCCTAAAAAAGACAATGGCACCCTTCACATCTCATCAAGGTGGTTGATGGCTCATTCAGGAATTAATGGCTGAGGCATTAAAAATTAATTACCTTAGCTCAAAAAACAGTAACTAAAATTAATGTCAAGACATGTGCTGGCCATGTTCCTTTTAAAAATCACACCTGATTTCTTTGACCTGCTATTGACCATGTCGGAGGATTGTCAGGCAACCTAGCTGGATTTGAGATTGCAGAGTTTAGTACAGGACAGCAGAGGTGATTACCCTCTTCCGAGCCTCCCTTATAAGATTGCTCAAGAAACCTGTGAACCTTGCTTGTGGCTGGAAAACCAGCCAAAAAAGCTATAGTACAAAGAAATTTTTAGGAGAAGATTTAAATCCAACAGCAGTGCTTCCAAGACAAGGGGAACTTTCAGCAACTATTGCAAAGCAATTGATTCTGAGAACCAAAGTACCCAGATGTAACCAGCAGGCCTTAACTAAATTTATGTGTTTAATCTATATCTTGTTTGGTCAAATGTAACATCTCATACTTTCATTTTTTGCTAGGGGAATGTGTATTTGCTCATATTACTGGGCAGTAGGATCTGTTTGTACATTTTTAACACTTTGATTATTTTCCTTGGATGGGTTTTAGCAATAAATCTAAACTCTTATGTGTTTAACCTAGGAATTCTGTCTTGTCTTAATTCTTATAAATGGCACATAGTCAACTACACAGTGAATTGGCGATCCAGCCTTCATTTAAAATTCAAAACCTCTGCTACAAGCATAATGGGCAAAGATGAAAGCCAATCCACTACTCCTCACCTGATTGCAACAATATATATACTCAATGTTGTTAATCGATTACATGGGTCCTAGGTTTAGTGAATTGTATCTGCTGAAGAGACAGATGAAGTCTAAAAGTGAACAATCCAACCTCAGAAGAAATGTTCATGTGCTCTCATAAGATAAATGAACTGAAACAGAGAAGATGAACTAACTTCATATACAGCAGTGTGGTGGTTCCTGACATGCACATCTGAATTTGGTTTAATTACATCATTGAGTGTCTGGAGCCATTTTGAAACTCACTTGGGAATGTTGACAGATTATACACATTTCTACTGCTATTTGCTTTTTAAAAAATATGTGCACTCAGTTCAAAAGGCTTACATGTGAGAAAATATTTGGTAGACCAAGAATTTGAGTTAACTGATGGCAAAGATACAACTAAAATATTTATTTCTACCGATGCCAAATTTGAAGCAAGGAACTAAGTCCACTGGGGAGAGGGGAGATTTCCCAAGCAAGAGGAGGTGGATCTGTGTCTTCATGGGTGGAATTAAATCTAAATTGGATTGGGATTCCAAAGTCATTCCATACTGTTCTGGGTTTCTGCATGGTGGAATTGAACAGGATCAGGTAAAGCTCCTTGGATCTGTTGGAAAAATAATTAAGATAATTATGAAGCCAATTAACAACTGCCTTCACCGCCAATTCTAGACTTCCTAACTAGGGCTCCTGTTTCTTAACCTGTCAGAAATTCACCAGGGTCAATGAGGCAATGGACAGTGACAAGTGCCTGTTTAGGGAAATTGACAAATGGGGCAGCTTTCGATTAGTAAAATTTCAGTGCTCAGCCATATTCAGGTACGTGGCTGTTGTCAAGGTATATCTTCTTATAGATAATGCTATCTCTGTTTGACAGCTGATTGCCAAATTCTAGGAAAGAAGTTTAGCTGTCTCAGACTTCATCTCCGGCTGCACTTCCCTGCTGCCACCTTATATGTATTTTTAATCAACTTGTTCAGACATGACACTGGTGAAACTTATGGAACTGCACCCTTCTTTCTAGACGCGAAAAAGCAGAAGCAATTACATTGCCTTAAGCACAGGAACAGCAGCAGCAAAACTCAGTAGCATCAAATACTTCTCATCTGCATGACTCTCCACAGGGCAAAGGGGCCTGTACCAAGGTGCAATTGGAAAGAAACAAACAACAATGGGTCCACAGAACTCTTAACATAACTGAGAAGGAGGTGGCAGGACAAGAGTAATGAGATTGGTAATGTCACTGCAATAATGATCCAGTTCCAGTGATGAAATCTGCAACATGAATAAATGCTTGGTAGTGCAAAAGTTAAATATTGCTAAAAGGAGACTAGAATTTGAAGCTTTTCATCTTGCATTTGTCAGAACTAGAACACAAGAAAAAGACTTGGAAAAAAAAAGAGATACCATTTTATACAGAACGAGAAGAAGATGCTGATTGGTTGGCCATTGACAAGGAACTGCAACAAGAACAGTTAACCATCAATATAAATTCTAACACCAGACAGGCAGTTTCGGATGGGTCATGGTATTGCCATGGGAATGTAGCAGTTCAGCTATCTCCATGACCCTTTTTCTTGAAAAAGGTGCAAAGTATCCACAAATTTTTTTTCTGCCTACATGAAACAGGATGGAGAATATTCATAAATGTAGCTTCTAGCATATGCAAATAAATCACATGCGGGTTTGTCTGATGATCTTATTCCAATGTAACCCTTAGTACGGCCCAGATTGCTTAATATATGATTTCCAATGGCAGAATCACACGTAATGATCAAAGATTTTCTTTAAATCCAAGCACTAACACTTTAGGAGGCTCTGGTTCTCATGACAGGCTGCTGTTAACATCTACAGTTCCTGGGAACAGGATGTCCTTCCCAGTGGAGCACAAGAGGATGCAATGCCAATGGCCAATTGGAGAGCCATCTTTGGAGTGCTATTCTTCAGAACAAGCTCACGCCCAGGTTTCTGCCTCTTGTCAAAATGTGTGACCCCTCAAGAGAAAGCTGAGAGATGCATATGTTCATAATGATTTATACAAATAGGATTTAAGAACAACAATTGTAGAAGATGCCTGAGGCCTGGGTGCAAGGGAGAAGGAAAAAGAGTAAGGGCAAGTGGGAATGTTGGCTCTTCAGACGGAAATGCAAGATGACTGCAGAGAGAAAAAGTGGAGCTGCAAAGTGAATTGTTCCGACGAGTATTCTGCAGGATAGTGCTGTGGTGACTGTAATCTGATACCAGAAAGCGTCATGTTATTCATCTGTCAACACACTCCTGTAATCCTGAATTCTCTTGCTGCTCTGTCTGCAGTTTTGAGAGCCAGCCTGCTGCTCACATCCTGATCCAATGCCACCCACATCTCCTTACTTGGAGAAGTTATCCTCTTCCTCCCATTCTTGGGAGAGCTTAACTCACTGCAGGTTCTCAGATCCAATAGCAAAATTTCCAAACTGAGAGACATCCAGGAAATAGTCTTCTCAGGTCTCTTCTCAGTTCATATGGATTTTTTGAGACTGCAGCAACAAAGTGCTGGTGATTTCATGTCGCCTATGTTGTGGGCTCTTTAATAGGAAATCCTTCAATGACGAAGTGTATAAAATTCCACCCCATCTTTTATAGAGCGATTGAAAGTGGAAACAAAGTGCTAGCAAAGAAGTAGACTGCAAAGCTTATTTTTCTTTGATTTTTACAAGATATAAACTGAAAGGCCAAACTGATTAGTTGAAATAAATTTAAAATAACTTCGAGACTGATATCATTCTATTTCTTAAGGTAAACAACTTTACCCAGTCTGTGATATATGTGTATAAGATAACAATACCGCAGCAATAAGCTCTAACTGACCTGGTGTGATTGACTTTTGTGATGCCTATATTCATGTGAAACACATGGTCTCAATAATTACACTCCTGTTTAGACAGTAATATAGGAACACCACTTGGAGGATTTAGTGCTTGTTCAGGAAGCATAAGGGCTGAGAATCCAACACTGAAGCTATCTGTATTTGTGCTTTTTTACATATTAAATATAATCTTGGGAGGGCAACCCAGAGACATTTTAGGCAAATTCCAAAGTGCAGTCACAGTTTATGGTTATACAAACAAAATGGTATTCCACGCAAATATGCATTTTTTCAGAATAATTTTTAACAGCAAAAGGTAAAAGATAATGCATTATTACTATATAGTGCTCTGCAGTTACTGAGATACAAACTAACACTTCACAGGTGATATAAAGTACAAATAATTTCTTGCAAAGCAACACATAGATAGTACTAGTCCTTACAATAAATACTTAAAAAGGACAGAAAATACAACAAAGGGCATAATATACATTTACGTACATTTCTTTCTAATATGTGACTCAAAAAATATGTTTGTTGATATTCAATCCTTTACTATTAGATAAAATTGATTATATTCTGCATGTATATACAACCAGAGGGGTTGTACAGATCAAGCCTCTGATGAAATTACTCTAAAAATACTTTTGAAAGTACTTTTGAAAAACATTCATGTTTATTCATTAAACTAACTACATTAAAAGTTTTCATTTCATTCTACTTTGTTGATTTTCTTCATGTTTGACTACTTTTTGACTGGCTGGCAATACAAACATATTCCTGGTTACCTCTTTGAATTTGTGAGCAATCTTGCTGGCGTCCACCTCTGTAGGAGAAAGCATATCATCGGTTTCAGGCAGGTCAAACACTTCAATCGCCATTTCACCACCAGTGAGAACTGAGCCCATTTCGTCATCCTCCTCATCAGTGGCATATTCCCCTGTCTTAACATCAAATTATATTTTTGCAAATATGAATACTTAAGTTAACATTTATAAAATTCTTGCAGTTATTAAAAGACAGGCTTTAGAATGGAAACAAAATACACATTTGTTCAGATTCGTGTCTCAGTGTGCACAACAGTTAAAGATTACTTTAGTGTACAATACTTAGTCTTAATCTGAAATTTAGTATTTTAATTTTAGGCCTTATAATACTTCAAAAACGAAAATAAAGAATACTACAATATTACAACTACAACACAATTTTGGCAAATTGTATCGGAAAGATGGCATTGAATAAATGCTGCACCCTCCTTCTAGCTGTTACCACTTAATTAATTACAACTGAAATAGATTTGTACATGAAATAGACTCACCAAAAGTTAACCGTACGTTATTACGTGTATATTTTCACAAATGTTAAAAAAAATCAATGCAAAACATTAGTTCTGAAAATTTACAGAATAATAAGTATCTAAGGCCTGATAAGAACATAATATTCCTTATTAGTTTCACGAAGCTCAAATCTGCTTACACAACGTGCCTTTAAAACAAGGTATATTTCATTTCATATATTCATTAATTGAATTTGCAAAAATAGTGTGTGGAAGATTTCATTTTTACACAATGGAATTTCAATCACTACTTTCATTTGTAGAAAACTACTTTTTCTTCTGTGATTCACCAACATCATTTTAATTAGGAATTCAGCAGTTTACCTGAAAAAAAACTATATCTTTTCTCTTAAGGACCTTCCAGAAAAACACTATTCCTCCGAGGGATTGTTCTTTCTTCTCCTTCATAAAGAATAACTCTCAATTCTCCAAGAATCAATCTACCCCTGTCTTTAAAAAAAAATTAGTGATCCTGTCTCTGATGTCTTCTGAGGCAGAGTTTGAAACTCTCAAAAACATTCTCTGTTCTGAAAGACTGACCCCTAATTTTGGAGCAAAGTACCTGAGTTTTAGAATGGCCCTCAAGATGAAACATTCTTGCCATATTCATCCTGTCAAGTCTGTTAAGGATCTTACACATATCAATCATCAATCTAGTAGTAATGGGCAACAAAGAAATGGCGGAAGAACTGAATAAGTACTTTGTGTCAGTCTTCATAGTGGAAGACATGAGTAACTTCTCAAAAATTCAAGAGAGTCAGGGAGCAGAGGCGAGCCATCAGACCAAGGAGAAGGTGCTAGAAAAACTAAAAGGTCTGAAGGTGTATAAATCACCTGGACCAGACAGACTACACCCCAAAGTTTTGAAGGACATAGCTAAAGAGACAGTGGAGGCATTAGCGGTGATCTTTCAGGTATCACTGGAGTCAGGGAGAGGGCCAGAGGACTGGAAAATCACTAATGTAACACACTGTTTAAGAAGGGAGTGAGGCAAAAGACGGGAAATTACAGGCCAATTAGCCTGTCCTCGGTCGTTGATAAGATTTTGGAGTCCATTGTGAAGGTTGAGATTTCTTGGATGAATACTTGGAAGTGCATTGTAAAATAGGGCAAAGTCAGCACGGTTTCATTGAGGGGAGGTCTTGCTTGACAAGTCTGTTAGAACTCTTTTATGAGGTAACAAGCAGGTTAGACCAAGGAAAGCCAATGGATGTTATTTACTTGGACTTCCAGAAGGCCTTTGACAAGGTTCCGAACAGCAGCCTGCTGAGTAAGACAAGAGCCCATGGTGTTAGAGGCAAGATACTAGCATGGCTACAAGATTGGCTGTCTGGCAGAAAGCAGATAGTGTGGATAAAAGGCTCCTTCTCAGGATGACAGCCGGTGACTAGTGGAAATCCGCAGGGGTCAGTGTTGGGACACAACTTTTCATTTTACATGTTAATGATCTTGTTGAAGGAACTGAGGGCATTCTGATTAAGTTTGCAGATGATACAAAGATAGTTGGAGGGACAGGTAGTATTGAAGAGGTGGGGAGGCTGCAGAAGGATTTCGACAGGTTAGGAGAGGGCAAAGAAGAGGCAGATGGAATACAACGTGGGAAAGTGTGAGGTTATGCACTTTTGTAGGAAGAACAGAGGCCAAAATTATTTTCTAAACAGGGAGAAAATTCAGAAATCTGAAGTGCAAAGGGACTTGGGACTCCTAGTCCAAGATTCTCTTAAGGTTAACTTGCAGGTTGAGTCGGTACTTAGGAAGGCAAATGCAATGTTAGCGTTTATTTTGAGAGAACTACAATATAAAAGCAGGGATGTATTTCTGAGGCTTTATAAGGCTCTGGTCAGACCACATTTAGAATATTGTGGGCAATTTTGGGCCCCATATCTCTGGAAGGATGTACTGGCCCTGGAGCGGGTCCAGAAGAGGTTCACGAGAATGATCCCAGAAATGAAATACTTCACATATGAAGAATGTTTGAGGACTCTGGGTCGATACTCGATGGACTTTGGAAGGATGAGGGGGGATCTAATTGAAACTTACAGAATGCTGAAAGACCTGGATAGAGTGGACCATTGGGAGGATGTTTCCATTGGTAGGAGAGACTAGGACCTGAGGGCACAGCCTTAGAGTATAGGGAAGATCCTTTAGAATGGAGATGAGGAAAAACTTCTTCAGCCAGAGAGTGGTGAATCTATAGAATTAATTGCCAAAGGCTGTGGAGGCCAGGTCATTGAGTATATTTAAGACAGATATAGATAAGTTCTTGATTGTTAAGGGGATTAAAGGTTACAGGGAGAAGGCAGGAGAATGTGGTTGAGAAGCTTATCAGCAATGGCGGAGCCAAATGGCCTAATTTCTGCTCATATGTCTTATGGTCTAACCATTAGTCTTCCAAAGTCCATGGAAACAAGCCCAGTCTGTTCATCCTATCCTCATCAGCCAACCTACTCATTCCAGTATTAATCTAGCTAACATTTTCTGATCTCCCTCAAATTCATTTATATCCTTCCTTAAAGTGATGAGAACTACACGTAATATTCGAGATGTCAACTGACCCTGCATAACTGAAGCATAACATTCTTCATTTTATGTTCAAATCCTTTCATAATAAATGATAGCTTTTTTGATAAAGTGCTCTACCTGCTTACTAACTAATTGTGACTCATGGATTAGAATACCTAAATGCCTTTGCACCGAGAAATTCTGCGGTTATTCCCAGAGGTTGGGAGCTCTTTCCAGAAATCTTGATCTCAGAAGAAGTTTCTGAGATAAACACAGAAAGTGTTAGAGAAATCCAGCAGGTCTGGCAGCACCTGTGGAGAGAAAAAGAATTAACATTTCGAGTTATATTTCAGTTCTGAAGAAGTCATGAGACTCAAAATGTTAACTCCGCTTTTCTCTCTCCACACATGTTGTCAGTTGTGATATGTTTCTTCAGTACTTTGTTTTTGTTTCAGATCTCCAGCATCTGTGGTATTTTGCTTTTATTTGAGAGGTTTTGGGAACTTGATACAATTTACAAATATTAGCATTTCTGTTAGCCTGGTAAAACTTAAAGAAGTAGACTATGACCGGTTCTAAATTGATAGGACAAAAATTAGACACACATCATCTATCTACAGTAGTCAGCAATTCTGTAACATCACATCTGGAGTACAGTGCTCAGTCTGGGTATGGCACTTGAGGAACATCAAATCTATTAAATATATTTGTGCAGAAGTTAGATTTTTGAGACCAATGTTTTCAGTAAAAAGATAAAGTTAAGATTGACTTTGACACGAAAAATTTTTTTGAAGGCTCACTTTCAACGAAAACACAATGTAGCTGACACAACTTTAAAATCGGTTTCAATACACAAGTTCGAAGTGGAAGCAGCATCCACACCAGACAATTATTGGGTCAGCATTTACGTTATGTAATGTCAACAAACAGCTATTAAAACTGCAGGAACAAATCTTTTCAACTTGCTTGAACATTCACTCTCATCACCACTGATACAAAATAGCAGACATATGTACCAACAACAAGATGCACTGCACTAATTCATCAAAGTTCCTCGAAATCCACCTTCCAAACCCACGACCTCTAACACTTAGTCAGACAAAGGCTTTAGATGTACACAGGATCACAACCTGCAAGTTCCCCTCCAGGCCACACACCATCCTAATTTGTAACTATATCACTGTTCCATCACTGTCACTGGGTCAAAGTCATGGAACTCCCTTCCTAACAGTGCTATGGATGACCCTATGCCCCCAAGGACTGCAGCAGTTCAAGATGACAGCTCATCCTCACCTTCTTCAGAGCAGTTACAAACAGGCACTAAATGCTTACATAAGCCAGTGACACCCACATCTCATGAACAAATATAAACAATGCTGCTTGGGGAAAGGACAAGGAATGATGGTGGGATAGGAAAGTCAGGCTGATAGCTTCTAGCTCTTGACATAAGCTTCAATACAGGAAAATTGTACTGAATAGGCATTTATAGGAGCCCAAAAGGCAAGACCTCAGTCTACTCCCCTCTTCCCATGAGCACTCCTATTGATGATCGAGTACCCAAGATATGGGCTACATTAAATTAAAATAATTTAAAGCTTCGTCTGGAACACTGTTCTTGCATCGTGTTTGCATCTGCATTCTTTATTACTCTAATCTGATCAGTTCTGTGAATTATAGCTACCTGAACTCTAAATCACTCTAAATCCTTCCGGCTTTATTTGGCAAGTAGGCACCAAATGGAATATGATAACTATAACATTTACTCAAGTGATGAATTGTAGTGCCTTGTGTGATTGCAGATATTATAATTTTGTTAATTAATGTTTGGGCTTTGCCTGGAAAAAGTAGGATCAGTTTGAACATGAGATGTCTCAAACATTGTTTATTTTTCAACACCAAAAATCATGCGATTGAATTTTATGAGATTAACTCTGTATATAAATGGCCTTTACTTATCTCTATTCAGTTTTTAAAATATGTGTGTGTGTGCGTGTGTGTGAGAGAGAGAGGGAGAGTGTGTGTGTGTGTGTGCATGTGTGTGAGAGAGAGAGGGAGAGTGTGTGTGTGTGTGGGGGGGGGGGAGAGTGGGTATGTGTGACAGGTAGT